CGTGACAGGACCACGGTCAGGTGGCGTGTGGCTGCGCGCAAGCAGAGTACTTCGTGTCACAGGCAGTCAGCGTCGGCGCCCATGCCAGACTGGAACTCACTGGGTGCATTTTGCGCTGGGCGAATGTCCATCGCCTTGTCGTCACAAATCTCGTTGTCGCTCGAAGAGCTGACCGAAGGTGCTACCTAGCTTCAGGCCTGCAGACCAAGATCCGCAGCCATTGATTGAAGTAGGCAATGCCTCCAGCTAAGGAAGAAATTATGACCATGCGCTGTGGCTGGGCAGGCAATGCCACCAGCTTTTGAGATAACTCTTATCCTAGCTGTGCAGACAGCTCCTGGGACAGAGTGTCCCGCTTGGAGCTCATCTCCGCTGGTGTGGTATTCTTCGGTTCAGGCGACGTTGCTGCCGTGTGCTGATCCTCAGGCCCCGAAGGGGGGGCGAAGTCCTTGGCCACTTCCTGAAGCACGTCTGCCGCGAACCGAAGGGCGCCAGCCCACGCCCCGGAGGCGGGGCGCGCTGAGTCGGCCGGGCCGTGTACATTTGCACTGGCCGAGGTCACAATTGATGTCCTGTCCTCCAGTGGAACATACCGTGTCGTCCCCGCCAACATCTCCGCATCCGTGTCGGGGAGTGCCGTGATCGCCGCCTCCAGCAGCCTGCTCACCTCTCTGACACGCTCCTTATGGCTTGTCGTGTTTGCCGCACGTCCGCAAGGCCCCCTACAGGAAGAATTTAGCGTGAGTGGCCGACCTCTCCCAGGATCCCGTCCCTTGGGCAATGCCCCCCGCTACCTCATCCACGAAGGTTCCGTCATCATTCCCGAGCTTGTGGTCTGGGCTCCGGAAAATGGCCGAGTCCCGACATATGCCACAGGCTTTATTCCAGAGGAGGGCACAGACCAGAACCTGCGGGTTGATCGCAGTGTGGATCCAGGTGCCAGGCGGAAACGGGGAGGACGGGGAAGTGGGGACTGGCCGGGCTTCCCTGTCTATCCAGTTCTGAAGCTCCTTGTCCACATGGTGGGGGAGGGTCTTGGTTCTCTTGCGGGAACCAGTGTGAGGCCGCTCGCCCCGATGGATCTGAGCCTTGATAGTCTGGGCAAGGCGGTAGTAGTCCCCGTAGGCCGTTCGCATGGGGCGTGGGTCGGCCTCATGATGGGGTGGTCTGTGTAGCGAACGCACCATAACCGAGCTTGAGTGGGTAGACAGTGTCACCAGAACAGCCGCCATAGTCGATCAGGACGTAGCACGCCGGCTGCGGTCTCAACATGATGTTGCCAACGTGAATGTCGGCATGAACCATATTGTGTTGGTGCATCAGCTCCAATGCCGCCGAGATGTCATGCTTCATTCTGACCAGCGCCGATGTCTCCATGTGCTGGGGAAGGGGCCAGAGACGCGGCAGCAGGGAGACGAGGTCGGCAGTGGCGAAGACAGATTGCAGGACCGAGAGCGGTGGCAATCGCCTCATCCTGTGGACCTCGCGCAACCATTCGTACCTATGTTGGCGTTGAACGGTCTTGAGGGCGTAGTCCCGGTTGGCTGCGCACTGAGCAACCGTGCAAGTCATGCC